AGTTGCACATGGCTAGAGAATGGGTTTGTAGCATCTAAGAGTGAAATGCCTTTGGGGCAGATACTGTGTGATGACAAAAACATTTTACATGTCTGTAATTCTGGGTAATAACCTGTGCCCAATTTTTTGACAGTCAGCAGGCCTAAAAGAAGGTGACTACATTGTATCAGTTGGTGGCATGGATTGCAAGTGGCTCGGTGTCAGTGAAGTGCTGGAAAAATTGAAAAGTGTGGGAAAGGAGCCTGTGGAGATTGAGGTTATCAGTTGCCAGGATACAACAGCATCTTTGGTATGTAATGAGGCAAATTGCCAGATTTGATATGCTAGAGTTTTGTCACTTGCCTGCCTTCAGTTCCTGATTACAGTTTACTTTCCTGTAGTTAGATATCCCACTCAGCCTGTGAATATATAAAGCCTTCAGATGTGTGTTCAGGTTTAAACCACCTGTTTAAACCACTGTGACCTAGCAAACCAAAGCACTCTGTCTGCATAAGAATGGTTGGGTGGGTGGTGGGCTTTTTTGTAGTGCAGCTACTTAGATTAATTGCATGAAAAATTTCAAGACTCAGTTTATTCCCCTCACTTGTCCCAGAGGATGAAGGCATTACCCTCTTCAGCAGTGGAAAAACCACAATGAAACAATAATGGAATGAAATACAACATCTAAGATATGTTTATTTTCTGTCCATTGTTGTTTTGAATGATCTGAGGCTTTTATATTAGACCATGGATTATTTTATGTATTTTTCTTATTTTGTGAACTTTTAACTGTCTAGTCAGTTACAAAGTTACTATAGAAGCTTTAGACTAAGGGAAAGTCATCACAAGATTAAAAAATATTAAGCTCTAAATAACTTATTAGTTGTGTGAAAGAGCCTGTAGTTGAGCTAAATCCACTGCTTCATGTTTTTAACATTCCCTGGCAAGCTTAGACACTCAAGTAATGTTGCCTGAGAAGTTATTAAGGTGCCCTGCTGCTATTAGGTTTTCTTGTTTTGTTAAAATTGGTTTTCCTTATTGAACATAAGGAATTCTGAATCTGCCGTTCCAAGTTGCAACTGGAAAGAAAAGGCTAGAATATAATCAAATTGTTTCAGGGCAGAGCTAAGAGGAGCCAGAGAAGGCTGTGCCTTTCAGGTACCCAGCAGAATGTCACACAGGAGCTCCTGTAGCTGTGATCTGTATAGAACCTGTCCAAAAACAGCAAAAGTACTCCCCATCACATCTGTGCAGGAATTACACACTTGAGCTTTGTAGGGGGGTTAGTGTGTATATTAAATAGTTATGCTAGAAGCCAGTAAATGTATAACAGCCCAGGAAAAGATTCACAAGTTCCTTTATGCTTTGCAGGGTATACCTTTGAGTCTGCATGTGCAAAATGCCAGGGTCACAGCACTCTGAAGGGCCTTGTGCTCAGTGATGTCATTAGCACAGAAAGCCTGCTGCAGTCTGCCCTGGAAAACTGTTTGCACAGGAACCTTTTGTTACTGTCAAAATTTTGACCCATTTTGGATGAGTGATTCTTACCATGGTTCTCTTTTTCCCACAGCATAGCAAGAGTGCAACTTACTCTATGGGAATGCAGAAGACATACTCCTTAATTTGTTTAGCCATGGACGAGGATAAAATGGATCAGACCAAGAAAGCCCCACTAAAACTCCCTTTTCTAAGTTGGGGAACTAAAAACAGACAGAAAGCTGCAAGTACACTCTGCCTTCCTTCAGCTGTGGCTGGAAGTTCTCAGAATAAGAAGAAGCTTTCTCCCTTCACACTTTTCAATACAGAAAGTTCATTGTACTGACTCTTTCAGAAGTATCTGTTAATGTGACTTTTGTTTAAAATGAAGATAAAAATATTGATCAATTTTCTCTTCACACACGTATGTATAAACTCAGACAAATACCAGTGACTTCATTTGCTGTGCATTGAGCCACTTATGGTCAGAAGCTGGCAGAAACTGCAAAACTGAAGTATTTGAAGGTTAGAATGAAGTTGTTTGGGAGGTATGCAATAACAAGATGTAGATTATAGAATTGCTTACATGAGGACTGGACTCCTTTGGGGTTTCAAAATACAGTTACGACTGATTTTTCATAAAAATAGTCATAACTATGCTAGATGGGAGTTATTTATTACAAACTTGATGCTGAATGCAAAATAATAGGGGACCAATCAAAGAATGATTTTGCTCGTAAAGTTTAGAGTCAATAATAAATCACTTAACACTACTTTGAAGAATTATCTTAACAAACCACAGGTGAGAGGAAATAATAATATTCAGAGAAACAAGTCTTGTGCCAAGCAACAGTGTCACAGAGTTGTGTTTTTATGCAGAGGTGCTTCCTCAGTACTAGATGTGGCCTACTGAACAGGTAATTTAATTCTGGAAGAGAATTACAAGGCTTAAAATTTAAAAGGTCTTTTGAACTCCAAAAGGCTTTTACTCTCTTCTTTTTCTGATTTAGGTAACATTTTAAATGCCTGTTGATTCAGTTGTTAAAAACAGGCTTTATTCCAAACTTTGACCTATTTGCCCTAAGGCTTGCTTCTGATTTAGGTAACATTTTAAATGCCTGTTGATTCAGTTGTTAAAAACAGGCTTTATTCCAAACTTTATTTAACCTATTTGCCCTAAGACTTGTATCTCACTTGTCTTGATAAAATTGATAGCTGTGAAACAAATCTCAAAATGGACATATTATTGATTCAAGGGCACATAAATTGCAGTGATGCTTTAAAATATGATAAAATAAGTACGTGTGCTAAGTGGCAGGGTATTTATTTACTATCACATCAAGCAAAAAAAAAATCTGCCCTTGGAAAAATTAATGAGCAAGCTGTATCTGTAGTAAGGAGGGGGACAAAAAATAACTGGTGAGCATTTCTTTGAGATTCTTCTATTATTTCCTTAAATTAATTGAAAATTGCTAACACTGTAGTGTTAGTTAACTTTGCCATCTACAGAGTAGATAGATACTTAAAATTTACACAAAAATCTGCATCTCAGTGTAAACTTTAAAGTTGTCATTTATTTTTAATTTCTTATGTAGTAGGTGTAAATATCTTGATGACCCTTATTTAAGAATAAAAATCAGATGCTGCCATTTACTAGTAGCTTTTTAATTCTGCTTCAGCTTGCATGATAAAGCATAATTTACAGTTTTTTTCTATTTACTGGTGCCATACCTCTTGTGTGTTTCTCTAATGTTGCTTACAGAGATGTAAGAAACTTTGAAGAAAAGTTCCTGTATTGTGCAATATCAACTAAGACTTTAAAACCAACTTCCTTACAAAGAGTGTAAACATATTTCTAGTTTCCCTGTAAAGGTTACATAAAAAAATAAGTTGTAAATTTCTTCTGACTTGCCTATTCTCAGCAGTTACTCTTCAGGTATATTGGGAGTAGTGCTTCTTTTACACACGCAGAGAGCAGCAGCCAGACCCTGTTCTGCACAGCCCTGCCTCACAGTGTTCCATACAGATGAGATTTACTTTGCCTGTGTGCTGAAATTGCTATCCAAGTACCTAAAACTTTAGCCAAGTCCCAGCAATCACCCTTGCAGTTCTTCATTTGTCTGAAATCACTATGATACTCTTCCTGGAAATACTTTCCCTCTTGGCTCCTGACTAATTGTCTTTCCCTTCCCATCATCACACTCACTTGTCCTTGAGGAAAGCTTGGCACTTTAAATTTAAAACAGAGCCCTCAATTCAAGTAAAAATGTGGACCTCTCGGGTGCCAGACATACATCTTGGTTTTCTGTCAGCTCACTGAAGACTCATTCCACACTGAGTGGGAGCCAACAGCTAACTTAAGTAGCAGTGAAAGGAGTGAGTGCCTTATGTTCTTGCTCAGGCCACAGGAATTTTTGTACCAAGTGTCTACCCACAAGGATGAATAAAGCCCTAAAAAGAAAGGGTGGCAGCGGATTAGTAGTACAGCCTGTAACTCCATTAATATTAATTGTTGTTACTCAGCTGAACTGTGTTGAATGCACTGGGCAGATGGCCATTTGCCACAGGGAAAAGGTGTTTGTCTTGCAACACAACAGCCACATGCCTTTAGGTGTGAAATGCAGTCTTCATCGCAAAGTGACATAACCTTAGACGAATAAAATCTGAGCAAACCCACGTATAAAGAAGCTTAAAATACTCCCTAATTGCCTGAAAAACCCTAGTATCTTTTCCTGTACTTTTGGAAATTCTGATGTTTATTATTCACTAAATGAAATAATTATGTCTCTGTTACAGACAAATTTTCATCCCAAGTACAGAATCAGTATAAATAGCAGTTCCACCTGCTGTCCATGCTAACCAGTGTAGGAGAGGGCTTTCAGAGGTGCCACGGCTTCCACAACAGCGTGGAAAATCCTCCTCAGCTGCCTTCCTGCTGTGGTCCAAACTCCCAAGTGGTATGAGAGATGCTGTTCACACACCTCCTCAAGGAAAAAGGCAATTTTACCCTTAAAAAATAGGATAAAAATATAACTTAAAATGCAAGATGTCAGGAAAACCAATCTTTACAAATAGATTTTCAAAATATTAATACTGGAAGAGTAGTATGAATTAGGAATTTTGTTCAAAGCTTCCCATATTATTTTCTTTGTAGTGTATATAATAGTATGATTGATAGTATAATTAACATATTAGAAGTTACAATTTATCAAAATATTTTGTAATTTATTATTAGTATGCCAAGCTGTATTCAGAAGAACAACATGAATCAACCAGTATTTTGGGTATCAGACACATGGGAATAAATTTGTTAATGCCCCATGAAATGGAGTGGTGACCAGAGAAATAAGTTTGTGTGAAGTCAAATGTGTTTTCCAGTAGGACTTTCCAAAGGAACTCCAAAAAGCTGTAAATCAAAGATGTTGCTATAAAGCAATATATGCAAACTTTTTAAACACGTGTAACATATTTCCAGCTACTGAGAAGTTACTATGCACATATTCATATGGTGGTTTTTTTCTTGATGTCCAAAGAAAGAAAGCAGATTACTGAAAAACACAGCTTTCTTGGTTTTTATTTGTTCTGGATGGATGCAAAATACAGACTTCTTTCCAAGGCAATTTGCACAGCTTAATCTATATGAATATAGCAGATGTAAAAAAGAAGCATCAGAGTCCAGTTGCTGCTAGCTATGATTACAGAAATCAGCAAAACATGTGATTATTAAAACCAAACTTTTATAACTCAGAAGAAAAATCCCAAATTTTTGTTTTGCAAAATACCACTGCGTGTGCACGTCAGGAATGTAAAAAAGTATAAATCTGTTGCGCTCCCGTTTGTCCAACTGCTCGCTCGAGCTGCCGCACGTCTGCGTTGCAGAGGCGCTGGATGCTCCCGAAGCGCTGCAGCAGGAGCAGCGCCTTCGTCCTGCCGACGCCGGGGATGCGCTGCACGGCCTGCAGCACGGCGGGCTCGGCCGGCCGCCCGCGCTGCCCGCCGAGGAAGGGCTTGGCACCGCGCTCCCGGCTCTGCTCCCGCACCTGCCAACAGACAGAGCGTCAGCGACACGCAGCTGCTGGCACAGCCCCGGGCCACATGTACTCGCTTCAGCTCTGAACGCCTCAGTGCAATCCCAGGCAGATGGAAACACAAGCTCCCTCCTTGGGTGCGCTCCCTTACGGGATGCAGTTGGGCAGAACCTTACTAAACAATCCATTTCTTAATAGCAACCACAAATGAAAACAAGTATTTCTGTCATCTTTTTGATGCAGTCAGAGAAAGGGTAACAAGAAACAATTTAAAAAGTTTCCCTAGCCTCAGAGAAAGCAAAATCTCAAGCTGATTTTGACAGTGACATTTGCCTAATGCTACCTTGTGGCACCTCATACAAGATTACATTTAAAAAATCCAGGAGCATGTTCTTCAGCCCTTTTTCTTTGTTCCCAAATGAGCCTTCTTCCCACTGAACTACACTATTGTGTCACTGTTGCAGAAGATTTATTCCTTACATTCAAATGATGTTGTGCTCCTTTAAGAGCCTATGCATTCTCTCTGAAACGATCACTGGGGAGATCTACCTGCTTTGCTTTATATCTCATATTTTAATATAACACAGAAACTTACTAGTTGAATAATAAGCTGAGAAGCTTCTCCTTGATTTGCCACAGGAAGCAACACCATCCCAAGTTCGAGTACAACAAGTTTTTGTACTCCTAGGTAGTACTGATCACTGATTTGGGTTTTCTCTACGATTACAATTCCCCTAAGACTGCTGGCCTGTATTGAAAGGAAAAAGATATTAGAAAAAACCTTGTTATCAACAAGTTAATGCAATGTAACAGAGAGAAATTCAAGTATGAGCTGCTAATAGCAAATAAGAGGAAGAACGTAAGTTGCAGCAACAGGATAGAGGTTTAATGCAGCTGCAGAATTTTTCTGTTTCCAGGTGAAAATTATGCCAAAAGGTCATCTTCAGTGGAATTTTTAAAAATAACACAAGAAGAATGTTTTCAGAAGCATGGAATAAACAAGTATCTAATGAAAACTTTTCTCTTTATATAGCACTTACATTTCTGAACCTAACCAATCTTCGTTTGAATTCATCCCCTGCAACCAAATCTGCTTCAGAAATAAGTAAAATGCAAGTTCTGTTTGAAAGATGGAAGTCCACCAGTCCCAAGCCATCTTCAAAGATGAGTCTAACTTTCCCTTAGGGTGAGATTGTTAGAAGAAAAAATAAAGTGGTTAAAAATATACTAACAATTATTTCACAGCACAGCCTTCCTAAAGTGTCAATAATTCTAGTGATTTGATAATGAACTTTATAGAAAGCCTTTTCTCCCTTTAAGTAAATCTATTACAAGCAGTCCAGACTACTGTGCGATGTCTTTAATATTGCAAATTAATAGCAGTTCCAATCTACAGATTTAAAAGTACTAGAGCTGCTCAGTAAACTCTGGACTTCAACAAAAATATCACATGCTTTTCTGGAGGGAGCATCATAATTTAGTTTGTTGTGCCAGCAAGATGGTAGCAGAGTATAGATGTAAATTCAAGGGAGTTCAGTGGAGATGCAAATCTGCAACGCCCCACAACAGCAGATCCTGCTGCTTCCCTGCAGTGCTCTGCAGCTGAGCTGACCACACAGATATTTGACAAACAACTGGGATCTCTCAGCCTGCTAACACAGTCCACACCATAAATATGGGACCAGTCAAGCACGCACATTCCAGCTGTTCTCAGCATTCCTGGGCAAGAGAGAGGAATGCTTTTCCTCTTCCAATCTGTGCTTACCTTGCAGCCTTTGGGCTAGTTCTGACCCTCTCCACTTCTCATTCCCAATCACATGCCCGTAAGGGACAACTATAGATTCTGCTGTCACAGGAGACTTTGCTTTTGTTGTCATCAGACCTCCTTTAAGATCCTCCTTCACTAGCAGTTACACCCTAGAAAGAAATGTGGAAAAGCAGCGACACATTTTACAAACCTGTTCCAAGCTTTAAAATGTTAATCATAATTAATTTAATCAAATTTTAATCACAAACTTAGGCTGCAATATTCTGGAAGAGACATGATTTCCTTCCTCAATCTTTCTTAAGCTAAGGTGAACATATCAAAATCGGCCAGCAATTCTGTTCACTTTAACACAGGCTGTCGTGTTAGCCTGCAAATTCCACTTTCAGCTCTACCACTCAGTCTAAAAAACGCCTGAATTAAAACACACAGATGATGAAAAAACCCACATTGCCTTTTCCATACCTTCATCCAGCTTGCTGGGAGGAAATCTTCCTGAATTACAAAGCCAACTCCATACGCCGCTCCATCCCTCAGCTGGTGGCAGTCTCCACACCAACGATTACCAGGCAGCTGCTGGGAGAGATTACGGTCAGGTTTGCCAGCTTTACGCGGTGTCGTGACTTTAACGAGCCTTGGAGGCCAAGGCATGACCTAAGGGACAGGCACCACGGACAAGCCGGTGCACCGCAAACACGCACACCGAAACACACCTCACGGCGGAGCCCCTCTGGGGAGCGGGGCGAGGCCGGAGGAGCCGCCCGCGGCAGCCAAGGGCCGGCCGGGCAGCGGGCCGGGAAGCGGCAGCAGGAGCTCCGCAGGCCGCGGGCGGAGGAGCGGAGGGCGGAGGGCGGAGGAGCGGAGGGCGGGCCTCACCCGGGGCGGTTGCTACGGCCGGCCGAGGGTGAGTAAGGCCCGCGCTGACTGGAGGAGCGCGGGCCGGCAGCGAATCCGCCGGGGCCTTGTTTGCAGGCGGGTCGCGAAGGCGAAGCGTCCGACGCGGCGGGGAAGCGGCCGTGAGGCGGTGGCTGGAGCCCTCCCGTGCTGATGGCGTTCCTGTTCCGGAGAGGCCGGAGGGGCCCCTTCGTGAGTATCGCTGTGCCTGGCGCGGAGCTGCGTTACCGTGAGGGGGACAGCGATCAGGGCGCGGCTGGGACGAGGGGTGGTTTCTGCGGCTGATGCCGGTGGTCGCTGAGCACTTTAAAGTGAAAATCGGGGAGAAAAATCAAGACAGAATGGTGTCTGGGGGCTGGTGCGTTCCTTTCCCTCAGTGCCGGGCCTGCCCGGCTTTTCAGGAACGCCGAGTTTCCCTTCCCCTTCCAAGCCCTGGGCGCTGGCCGGGCTGGCAGTGCAGCTCGCGATCCTCGAAGTTCGGTGCTGTAAAGTGAACTGGTAAAAGTTCTGATGGACGGCCCAGAGCGCACAAAGGCTGTCCGGTTGTCAGCAGTTGTGCGGGTGTTCTCTTCCAACGTGCTTGAACTAACTGAATTTTTGTTTATTACTGCAGTGAAAGTATGGATCTTCTGTTGTTGTCATACTTTTACTGTGGGTGAAAGTTCTTTTACATACTTCAGCAGTGTTCCCTGGTAGTCTTAGCAGGGTCAGTCATAGTCGTGTCTACAGTCAGCAGCTGTAGTAAACGAAACGTTTCATGCCAGACACACATGCAGAATTAGAGAGCAGTATGTTTGCATGACTGAGGAAAAATGCAGTCTTTTAATGCACCATTTAATTCTTTGATGTGACTTCATGTAAAACCAGAAATATTTCCCAGCTTGCATCTCAATTCTCCTGTTGGAGAAGTGAATTAAAGAATAATTTGGGGAAAAAAGATCTGTAGCAGAAATAGCAGGAGCTTAGCCTGTTTCACTCCATAGAAAAGTAACATCTGCCCAAAGGTGATGGATTTATTGTGGCATAGTATTTTCTGATGCCTAGAGAGAGGATAAGAGGTAATGAGCACAAGCTCAAGCACAGACAATTGGATTTATTGTGGCATAGTATTTTCTGATGCCTGGAGAGGTAACGAGCACAAGCTCAAGCACAGACAACTCAAGTTAAACATAATAATAAAATACTGTGAGGTGGTTCAGCACTGGCCAGGTTGGAGATACACAAGGCAGGACTGGACAGGACACCCATCAACCCTCTCCTGGCTGACCCAGCTTTCAGCAGGAACTTGAGCTGGACAAGCTCCAGAGCTCCCTTCCAACCAGTATACAGTTTCCTTCACACTACTTTTGTAGGAACTCTGGTCCCAGTTTTTCTGAGCTGGTTTTTAATGTTCTACCATCTTTTAAAAAAAATTACTGTGCTTGCTGATGAAAAATATCTATTGGTTATTTGGTTTCTTTATAATTAAGGTTGAACCTTTGACTGCAAGGCTTAGTGGTAGGGTTTTGTTTTTTCCATCTCATACTGCTATGACTGAGGATTGACAAACTGTAGACGAAAGGGACTAATATTATTACTCTGAAGCAGCATTCAGATATTTTGAAAAAAGTTATTTTCTAGTCCAGTTTTTCTTGTATATCTGTAGGAAAAAGATGAGTAAGTTAAAATTCTGGTTTTGCAAATTGTGATATAGTGGATAGAAAATGTACATTCATGGGTCTCATGTAAATTACATTTCTAACCTTCAAGAGCAGGTGTTCATAAATGTTAAATGAACTTGCCAGCTTTACATGGTGTTCTGACTTTAAGGGGGATGAAATGCCATTTCAGGTCTTCTGTTTACATTAATTGCATGTAATTGTTCCTCCTTTTTATATTATTTTGCATTGTTAGTTTCTGTGCACATTCAGTTCTGTGTTTTTTCTCATTGTAATCCTTAAAGTCATTGTCAACTAATTTTATTTTAAATCATTTAGAAACATATAGCTCATGGCCTGGTCCCTGCTGCTACCATAGCTCCTAAACCTGCAGTTCCCCGCACCCCTCCCCCTCGTAGTCCAAACCCTTCTCCAGAAAGGCCCAGGTATGTGTTGGTTTTGGGGGTTTTTTAAATTATTTTTTCTTTTTTAATATATTTTTTGTTGTTTCATCAGGTATTGTCCCTCGTAGTCCAAACCCTTCTCCAGAAAGGCCCAGGTATGTGTTGGTTTTTGGGTTTTTTTTCAATTATTTTTCTCTTTTTTTATATATATTTTTTTGTTCTTTCATCAGGTATTGCAGCATACTAGAAAAATCTGATTAGAAGAATTGCATGTCTTTACAGTATTCACAAAACTTTTCATAAAAGGAATATATTTTTAAGGGGGGAAGTTTCTCACTCTGAACTTTTTTCCCCCATTCCTAAGCATGGTAAATATTTGGGACAGTAACTGTTATGAACATGTGACTTGTCTGAGTCAATTAAAGACAAATTGACTATTTAAAGTTAGTGGAATTTTTAATTTGGCTTCTACAGTAGAGTGTAGGACTGCAGCAGCACAAGTGCTGTGAGTCAGGAAATGTTAGCTCATTAGAAAAACAAAAATTAAACCTTGCTACCATACCAGGGACTTAAAAACTAGCATGTAACACCACACTGGACTGGAAAAATGCAAATTCTTTTTCTTTTAAGTTGTAGTTTCTTACAGTTTTTATTCTGTTTTTTCTGCATTCTGGTTGTTTTCTGTGGCCTTTTTAGTGTCTGTAACATTTCTAGTTAATTTCTTCTTCCTTTTTGGCTTCAAGTTCTTGTCATTCATTTTACAGTTCTCAGCATTTCACTGCTTTAATCTTACTACTTATTTTTCCTTTTCATCATACCCTTCTCTGTACTCCACAGCATCACACAAATAGGCACTTCTGTTTGCTTGTCCTGGTTTGCAGTGTGCCAACATTTATTAACAACTTCACAGTCATCAGTAAAAGTTTTAGAGTAGGGAACAATGGAGACAAAATAGCAGGACATGGAAGACCTTTTCAACACAACAGGTAGTATTGTTATGGCTAAAGTGAATGTTAAATACTGTAAATTACTGATGTGGATTTTGGGAAAGTAACTTGGTATATTCCATGATTTGCATGCATGTGATTTGGGAGAAACAGTAGATATTGTGCCTTACTCTTGGATAGCTGCATTACAGTAGCAAGCTGTTTTGTGCTTTACTTGGGGAGGTTGTAGTTCATAACCAGTCCCACAGCATTCAGTGCTATTTATGCTTGTTAACTGGGAGCATTTTGCTTTGATTAAACAGAGAAGACATTTTGCAAAGAGAAAGCATCAAAAAATAGCAGGACATGAAAGACCTTTTCAACACAACAGGTAGTATTGTTATGGCTAAAGTGAATGTTAAATACTGTAAATTACTGATGTGGATTTTGGGAAAGTAACTTGGTATATTCCATGATTTGCATGCATGTGATTTGGGAGAAACAGTAGATATTGTGCCTTACTCTTGGATAGCTGCATTACAGTAGCAAGCTGTTTTGTGCTTTACTTTGGGAGGTTGTAGTTCATAACCAGTCCCACAGCATTCAGTGCTATTTATGCTTGTTAACATTTTGCTTTGATTAAATAGCAAAGACATTTTGCAAAGGAAAAGTTATAAAATGTGGAGCACAGAGAAAGCATCAGTATTGCTTCATTGCTTTATTCTGTTTCCTTCCAGGTCTGCTCTAGCAGCAGCAATCCTTGCAACAGCACTAACAGGGCGCACTGTTGCTATTCCTCAGCCTCGGCAGAGATCCCTTTCTGAGAGTGATTCCACCTACTTGGAACAAGAATGTCTTGAGCCATATGCAACAGTCACAGAGCTCAGAACAGGGTAGTGTATGCCTAAATTGTGGTGATAAATGATCCCTTGGAATCTCTCAATGATCAGTTTTACCAGAGAGTGACAGCAAACTCCTGCTGTTACAGCTACTTGCTTTTTTCTTACCATATCATAAATTCAGTCTGAAGTGTCTAACAATGCTTATTCCGTTTCTTGTAAAGTGGTGTGCACACATACAATCTTCAGAGAAGCAGATTTTGATTGTACAACAGTCATTACTAAAATCACACACTATTTCTGTCAAATGATGATCAATTTTGTAGAATGTGATGAACTGAGGAATCACTTGAATTACATGTAAGATATTTCCTTTGTACCAAAATGACCATTTCAAACTCTCTTTTTGGTAGAATTAGGAACCTTCTATCTCTAACCTGTCATTTTAAGATAGAGAGGAAAAGGTAGTACCAGTGTTAATTGTCTATTTTAGAGTATACACATAGACACTGTCTTGGAGATGGTTTATTATCCCATACCATTTGGTGGTTTTTGTTCTGTTTGGTCTAGTTTGTGCCCAGGGTGGCTGCTGTCCCTGCTTCAGCCCCCACACTCCCTGGCCCGGGGGCTGTCAAGAATGGAGCTGAGCTGGGGTGTCTGGAGGGAGTTTGGGGCAGGGTGAGGGGCATGGGCTTGTTCCACTGGACACACTGACCAGGGATCCTGCTGTTTCTGTGGGCTTTGCCTGCTTCTTTTTGTGGTTTTTGTTTGTTTGTTTGTTTTGGTTGGTTGGGTTTTTTTGGTTGTGTTTTGTTGGTGGTTTTTTTGTTTTGGTTTATTGTTTTGGTTTTTTGGGGGTTTTTTTTGTTGGTTTTTTTTGGGCGTTTTTTATTATTGTTATTTTTGCTTTGGCACTGTGACTGGGCTTGCCAGCTTGGCCTCTTTTGCTGCTGTGCTCTTGGGAAGCCCAGAGCCAGTGTGTGCCCACCAGGAGCTCTGCACAGCCCGGGCCCAGGGACCAGCCAGTGCCACTGGGCAGTCCTGGGAGTCTCTGCCCTGTTTGGGAGCGGGGCTGCTGCTGCCCGGCCCCTCCATGCTGCCCTGGCTGCTGCTCTGGGGTTTTTTCCTACACCGGAGC